ATTATCAGTAATTATTGTTTACGACAAAGAATTGCTCCATAATCAATTTCATTTGAAGATGTAACAGAGGTAACGCCTTAATGTCTGTAATAATACATGTAGTAGCTGCTAATTGCATTATAGGCTCTCGCTTTGGTGTTTGTTCGCCAATTACTTTGCATTAGAGGATTTGAATGACATCCTGGTATGAGACCTCGCCTGAAGGTGGAAGCGAGATGCAGAGGCGGGGAAGGATTTTTTTTAAAGGGCTGGAGAGGATGGGGGAGGGGGAGGAGTGATCGATCTAGTGGCTCTAAAAAAAGTTAACAAGCGAAATGAAAAAAAAGGTTATCAGACCGAAGGGGGTGGGTCCTGTACACAAAAAGCAATGATGAAAAAGGGGAGGGGTCCAATTCCACAAAAAATTTAACAAGGAGAAAAAAGAACTACGTGGGGTCAAAACAGAAAAAAGAGGGAGGAGGGTCCTATACACACAAAAAAATATGAAAAGTAAAAAAATTAAAATCTTGTGATGTAAAAGAGAGGGGAGTTACACATCACTATTTGCCTTACATTAGATCAAGAATCATGAATTGCACTTGAATTTTTAACAAATTCTCCTGCTAATGCCCATCATCGTGACACTAATGTCCTTTGGCAAGACATTGATCTACATTTGCCACTCTCCACCCAGGTGTTAAGTGGGTACCCGGTAGGATGCGAAAGTTAATGTGGTTAGGTGAGCAAGTGTGCTCTTGTAAAAATGACGCCTGGCTGGAATATATACTCCCCAGGTAGTGGAGAATATGCATACATTGTGTGCGGACAAGCCTGAATCAGATGACCGGTGTAATAATATATATCTGTAAAGCGCTTTGAGAGCTACGTGTAGCTAGGGCCTTCGGTCCTGAAAAGCGCTATATAAGAATGAACTGTTATTATTATTATAGCAATGTTCATGCTGTGTCTCGTCTGTTGAAAGCTGTAGAAGAATTTTAAATATATGCGTCATTGGATCCCTTCTGGCTCTCAGTCAGCAGACATTGTGGCTTTTTGCTCTATGAATTCTTAGCCTTGTCTTAATTTGTTTTGATGCTCACTCTTGTCTTCTGCCTGTAGTCTCCAACTTTCCATACATGTACCTCTAAGGCTGCGTTCATGCTTAAATTTTGAAGGCAGAATGAGCGATCTGAAACGCTCATCGTAAACGCTCATCGTGATCGCAGTTCCACGATGTAGTGTTCATGCTTACTTCTCTGGCTCCCCCAGGCAATTCTCAGTGTGTGGCCTTAATTGGTCTTCCAGCTGGATTCGCAAACCTTCACTGTGCATGCTACGTAGACCCACTAGAGGTCAGTGCGTTGACCCCATTTAAACGCGTTTACAAATTGTAAACGCATCTTTTTGTGAGTTTACGATCGGCGATCGTGATCGCCGTTTTTTCGGTGATTCTACAAAAGTGAGCTAAGACGCAACCGTGTTTTAAACTAAACGCGTAACAGATGCCTGATTCTGGCCGTCAAAATCAAGCATGAACGCGCCCTAAGTCAAATTTCATCGAGGGCAGTCATAAACTCTGTGACTATTTTTTTGTAATCGATCCCCACCTCCCCCTTCCCCTCCCTCCCCCTCAAAAAAAAGAAGTTGATTACCATTTCCATTTTTATTTTTTAGATACAAATTTAATATTGCAATAATGCTGGGTTTTTTTGTTTTTGTTTTCTTGTGGGGAATCTCTCACCCCTTGTACAATGCCCTCAAAACAACCGCTGTATGCAGACAGTCACGGAAAGTGCCTGGAGATTACAGACTAATGTGCCTACAAGGAGAAGGAAAAGCTATTAGCCCAATTACCATGTGTATCTCATCCTATTCCAGTCATCCTCTTAGACTAATCAGCAATCACTGTCTCTTTGTTCATACTAATTAGACATGAATGTTTAAATGGCCTTGGCGAGTAATTGGAATGGGATTAAAGGTGTCTGCACTCTGATCAAAGATGCAGTTATAGCTGCTTTTACACCGCAACCAAAAATCATAGATTTTTCTCACATTCCGGTGTTTCACCGGTAGTTGCATAGCATAATATACCATAGCAACAACAGGCAAACACGGCGCAAATCGAAATTGAAAAATCCACCTCTTGAGCGTGGTTTTTTAAACTCCTACCAAAGTTTCATGATTTTTGCAGTGTAACTGCGAATTTCGATAAGATGCTGATTTTCGGTCACATGACTCGCTTTAGTGCTAATGCATGCAGGGCACAGATGAGTCGCGCATATGCACTACTCACCAAAAATTCAGTACGAGCATACTTTGATGTTTTTTTTATGTTGTTTTTTTACTAGTGTGGTATTAAAAAATATGGATGATTTTTCAAAATGGTGTTTGGGATGTGTGTAAATGAGCCTTTTAGGAGCTGTTTGTGTCCTGCATACACCAATTTTTAAGTGTAGCACACTAGCACCGTTCATACATGTAGGTTGTATCCGTCTTGCTCTCTGATACTCCTTTTAATTAATTATTACATTATGTTCAAACTAAGACTTTCTTTTGTATACATTAAGAATATGAAAGGTATGAATGTGCTATTAACTGCTATGACTTTTTATCCTTATGCATTATCATGTTGTAGTTTTGGAGCTAGAAGGGCATTAACTTATAACATAGAGTTAATGCCTTTCTGGTTCTGACTAGACGATGTCAGGGTTGGAATACACCCCTTTGTTTAGTATTTAAGTATACACACATGTAGTAGGCTCTTCAATGATTGTTTTTCTAAGGATCATTAATGTATGCAAAAGCTTCATGTTAATTAATTTTGATAACTTTAAAGGTAATACAAAGTTTTGGTATGGGGTCATGAATTTGGTTCAAATGAACATATTGGAAGCATATGCGATCTTACAATATTCAGTGTTCATTGTCGCGGTTAAAAATGTGAAATTATAAATAATAAACTCTTTATGTTGTATAGCTCCCTCTCAAGATCAAGATATTAATTAAGCTATGAAACATTGTTTCTTGATTAAAATCTGCCGATTAGCTATTCCCATTTGGAAATTATATATCACAACTACATATTCTGAGATTTTCATGGTTGCAGCTGCCATTGTACGACCGTAGGTGCTATTTGAAATTCATCAAAATTAACCAGGAGCACCGGTAAATTTTTATATTCCATTTTTCTCGAAAGCAGAAGTGTTTAAGGGGCTAAATTTTCTAGTGCTTATAATACATCTGCAGGGGAATCCAAATATATCAAAACTGTAAAGAATCACTATCCACCTAATTTTCAAAATTTCCCCAAACTTTGTATTACCTTTAAGTTATTGAATTAATAAAGTAAAGAACTTAAATTTGTTCCATCTCATGGTTGTTGTTTTTTGTTGGGGGGTACATGTAGTTTGTAAGCTGTCTTCAAAACTCAAGTCAAACTGAATTAAACTTAGGCTCTTGCGGGTTTTTCAGTTTATTCAGGGCAAGAAGGGCAATAATTCTTTGTTAGATTAAAGATATACTCCAGTTCTGGTAATGAGATTGCATTGTGACAGAAGAGGTGTGGAATGGATCAGAAACAGTTGATCATGTAGCATGCAAGTATTGGTGTGCACTGCAAGGTTCTGGAGTCATCAAAATCATAATAAATTTGGCCGAGTCTTGGTAAAGTAACAAGCACTGTACACAGAAAGCTATATATGGGACAACACACATGGTGTCGGGGCTAGTACTACCTTGATTTCCTTGTCTTTCTATGCTCATTACTCAGCCAGTATACATTTTCTTCCAAAATTGTTTGGCACATGTCATTTATTTGTAATCTTGAACATTCAGTGTAAGTTTCGTTTGATTCTGTGAGAATTAATTTTTTTTATTTTTTTTTTACCGGAACTGGAGTTTATCTTTAATGAGTTAACATCCTTCTGGCTCTAAGCAGTAATACCATGTTTCTTTTTGTTTGCAGATGAAAGATTAACCTTATCCTCGGTCAATCTGGAGTACTGGTCATTAAATATATATTATAAAATATAGATTACTATCACAAAAAAATCCTACATTATAATAAGATCAACTGCTCCTAGTTGAAATGTTTTTCCTTGATAATTGTGTTCTGTATGAATAAATGAATATAAAGCTTTATATACAGAAGGCCTACAATGTAAGTACACGCCATACAGTCGTAACGATTCTGATTCTACTAACTCATGTTTTTATTCCGTTTCTCTCATTACGATTCTTTCCTTCCCATCCCGCTTACCTGTGTACTTCTTTTCTCCATTTCTGATCCCCAACCTGCCCCCCCCCCCCTCCTCCCCGTATTAATTCATATTTTTACTCCTACACCTGTCTATAATGCATCTTTTTCCCCTCTAAATTGAATCCATGTAATAACAATTATAACCTATACCACATGTCTCTCCTTATCATATTACATTACACCATCATCTCTTATTCATTTTATCTTCAAACGATATCTTCTTTTTTTATCTATTCTTCATCATGAACACTGGCAATTTCATCTATCCATTCCACTTATCCTGAAATCATTAAATACATGTGCTTATATTCTTCCATTCATTGATTACTCATCCAATTCACCTTTCATTAATTTGTCATCCATCAAAACAATTCATACCTTCCTTTTCCATTCATCATTGTCTTTTGGCAAACAATCATTGATTCCTCCCATACATAATCTCATATCCTCCTTATCTTTCCCTCATTCTCCCTCCTCTTTCTCTCATTCTACCTTCTCTCTCCCTCCTCTTTCTCTCATTCTACCTTCTCTCTCCCTCCTCTTTCCCTTATTCTACCTTCTCTCCCTCATTCTACCTTCTCTCTCTCTCTCATTCTACCTTCTCTCTCCCTCCTCTCTCCCTCATTCTACCTTCTCTCTCCCTCATTCTACCTTCTCTCTCCCTCATTCTACCTTCTCTCTCCCTCATCCTACCTTCCCTCTATCTCATCGATCCCTTCCATTCACCCATCCTCCACCAACCTTCCTATCTCTCCATCAACAGACATCCAAGTCGCTTGCGTTCTTCTTCCAGTTGATAACAGTAAGAGGGAGCGCGTCTCCACATTCTTCTTTTCTCGATGTTGTCAATTTGTTCACCCCCTCGTGTATAAATTGGCCGGCAACCTGCAATGATCTTTTTTATTATTATTTCAGTTATCTTGTGAGCACATTGTGACTTGTCAGAATGTTTTTTCTCCTCTTGTATATCTCTTTAACTCCCTGTTCAGACTCGTAACTTTCATTGTATAGCTCTACGTAAAAACAGCTATACGATAAGTTACTGGTGTTACGTTGTCTAGCCTGAGAATCGCATAATAAAAACATTGTATAATGAAACGTTGTATAGGATCATTCTGAATAAATACTTTCTCAAGAATCAGAGTCCATTTCCAATGTATCGTACAAAAAAAACATATAACTTTGCGGGGCTTATCGAAAATGTGCACTGAAGATTGGCCAACTGTCAATATTATTCATCTGTTTGGAACCAGAAGGGTGTTAACTCATGTACTTTAATGTGGTGTTAACGTTCTTTTGGCTCTAAACAGACGATATGTGAACTGACCTCTTCATAACTAATTCTTTATACAACGTTTCTTATACAACGTTTCATATACGTTTCCCCCAGTTTGAACAGGCTGTTATTTTCGTTCTAGCTTTGCTTGAATCATTGCAGCATGATGGTTTGTTGTTCACGTTGTTGGATGTTGTCATGGCAACCCATTGAATTAGTATTGTAGATGTTCATTCTGGTTTGAATCTCCGCACTTCCCAGTCATTCATGTTTGAGCTGCATGATCGAAATGTGTATCGTTCGTCCGCTGAAAGCCAAAAGGTGCGCTGCATGATTCATGTATTCCTCTAGGGTAAAGGAGAAAGTTAATCCTGGCATCATGTTGGTTCTAATGAAAATCACATGAATGAAAAAGAGAGAAAGAGATCAGTAACAGTTTGAGGAAATCCAGTGAGAAAGTTAAGAAGAAATAGAAAAGAAGAAGAAGAAGAAGCAAACTTTTGGCCAATTCAACACAGATTGATATCTTTGATCTAGCGAGCACTTCTCCTATTTGTTTGATTTTTTAAATGTCATAACATTTCCATTTTTATTACAACAAAAATACTGCCTCTATCATAAATCAACAATCTAACCACTTTTGAAACTAAAACTGAAACGCTAGAGGTCAAATTATTCAAACGAAATTGCTTCATAAGCATGTAAAGAATATGAAATAGTGTTTCCTTCTGTTTAATGTAGCTTTAATGTCCAGTACATGACTGTATCCTACAGTATTGTCTTGGTGTTTGATATGCATATATGTGTACCTGTACTTGTATCTTGGATGAAAAATAATATTTTGAAAGAAATGATTAGTGATCTTGTGTTTGAGCATGGTTCTGTGTTGTATTCAAGCACCCTATGATTTTTGTTGCGATTCTTGTGATTCATATTTCATCTACATCTACAGCCAACCTCACATTATACGATTCGACCACGATCCGTTTTCGAAATGATAGGCCATTTTCGTAATGGACCAAATTTATGCATATACCTTTGTGAAGCAAATTATTTCACTCACCTGTTACAATAAATGTATCTCAATCATCAAAATTAAAATTGCATACATTAGTTGTTGCTAGGTAGGACAAAAATTAAAAATATGGGGGTAGGTTTGGGCTTCTGATTTTGTTTTATTTTTGTAATAAGGGTTAGGGTTTGATATAATTCAGGATTCAAGTTAGGATTTGGAAAATGATAAGTGTAGAAAATTGACCACAAATGAATGAAATGTCAAATATTTTCCACATCAAGAACAGAATCACATAGTAGAGAGATGTCATAATATTTTTGAGCAATGCAACAACTTTTGCTGACATGCTTGCAAAGTTTGAAATACCAGAGGTTTCAAATAGAAGTCTGATCAGTTGTGTCAATTTAACTTTTTTTTAAGCCTCCAAGAAGGCCATTACGGCTGCATTATTTCTTGACAGCCAGAAGGGCTTAAACTCTGTTAAAAAGCCATAATTGTAATGAAACCAAATATAATACATATGGTACGTCCTTTTGAAGTGCCTCAATACAAGTTATTTCATTCACCTGTTAAGAATAATTGTATTTCAATAGTCAGAATGCAAGCTGCATACATGATGTGTTGTTAGGTAGGGAAAGCCATAATGTTTGTCCTACCTAGCAACAAATACTGTATGAAATTAACTTTATGACTACTGAAATACAATAATTTGTAACAGGTGAATATTTGTAATGTTCAGCGGAATGAAATAATTGTATTGACGCACTTCACAATGACAAATTCATTAACATTTGGTTACATTACTGTACCAGCCTATTGATAGGAGTTACTGCCTTTCAAAGCTCACAGCAGATCTCATTTCAATGGCAGTATTATGTCCCTATGTCCTTTCGGCTATGAGGAGACATAATTTGTAGTAATGCACAAGTGAACAATTGTATATCACTGGTTAAAGCCAGATGTTTCACATCAAATTTGCTCACTCACTTCACGATTGAAATTCTTTTTATTGCTTTTCATAAAACTCACATACTTCTAGGCATATCATAGTTCATGGCTGGTAGATTTACATTCCTCATGTACATTCTTACATTCTTGACAATGTAGACATATTTAGCATTGCACGTATGTCAAACATCGTAGTAAAACTGCCTTTTGATGAGCACAGTAAACCCCTTCAGGAATGACTGTTTTGGCTGTAAAGACTTCATCGTGATATATTTCTATTCCAATGTTGACATGTACTAATTGAAGGATTTGATTTTAAGCCCCATTCCAGACCCAGTATATAGTGAAAATCAATTGGAAGTGTTAGGGGATTCTACTCCCTAAAGTCTTTGAAGAAAAAAAAGTCACCTTTAACATTTTGTCAACCCCCCCCCCCCCCCCCCCCCCCCCTCCAAAAAAAAAAAAAAAAAAAAAATCTTGTCCCTTGGATCTAAATTTCTAAATTTGAAAGGGGTTTCAAAGCTATGATGGAGGGGAATGGGGGACACTTTTTTTGTGTATCATGCCAGTTTGAGTTTTGAAATGAAGGCAAGGACTGTTTAGGCCCCTGGATTTGGCACTGACCTGGACATTGCAGAACACAGTTAGAATGTAGGCATAAAAGCTTATGGATGCATGGAGTTCGAAATGTGTTTAGCTCATGTGCAACTAAATTACAAATATATATATATATATATATATATATATATATATGTATGAATATTATTGAGTTCAAATAAAAACTTGTACCTGTTCAATCAACCTTTTGCAAAATCATACAAAATTGTGATTATAAATTTAAGCAGGATATCCTTCTTGGCACCCCTTACAAATGTAAATGTCTTCTAAAGCTGAAACTGATTTTGTAGAGGTCCAGTTGGGAATTCTTCTCATTATTTACATGTAGATTGAGAGGGCGTGCAAGCCGTGGGTGTATTTACTGTCAAAGGAAGAGATCTAATCACGTCGCTAATTAGTACCAGCTACATTCCCTGAACATTCGTTGAATGTCGCCATTGTGGGAATGTGAATGGAGAGAGTACATGCAGAGGTCAGGTAGAGGTCTAGAAAAACTCGCAATCTATTTGACAATAGGGGCATTAATTGCGGCGGCAGGGGAAATACATCAAAATAAAATGTTGTCTATTATGGAAATTAACAAAGGTAGAATGGTTAAGGATTATTTACATGTGGTGCGGTAAACCACGTCATAAAAACTATGGCAGCAATATAGAAAAAACATTTACCTGTCTATAAATAGCATGAAGAGGTGAAAAAAGTAGCTGCACGTAGCCATTAAAGACCCCTAAATGTAAACTTCTCTGTATGTTAAGGTATAATAATAATAAGTGCATAATTACACTTTTGTAACTTTGCTGCAATGATTTTTTTTTCCTTTGGGGGGGGGGGGGGGAGGGCCAGGGGGCATTTTAGCATATCATATAATGAACAAGTCTTAAAACCTATCTGCAATAGTTTGGCCAGGAGGGATTAGACCTCCCTGCGTGGTCACTGGCAGGTGGTTATCTCATCAAATCAGCTCTCAATTAACATAAGAAAAAGGGGACCATGGGGGATCAACTGGACCGCTAAGGCATTGTTGGCTGTTTAGAGGGCACAAGAAGCTACAAGTAGTGCAGTCCCGCTTTAATAAAATGTATGAATAAATCTTGACAATACTAAATCACATGGGCCATGGGACGTACTGCACTTCTTCAAACGAGGAGAACGTTGTGGCACATATCAAACTAATCTACCGAGATTATGAATTATAGGAAACATTATTCCCCAAATGTTCATAAAAGTGACGTCTGCTGAGGGTCGTTAAGGGGGTAGGTAGATTGTTAATGATAATGGTTTTGCTACATGTTTTGAATTTTCAGTGTTTGAGAATATGAAATGTACATGTATATACACTGTATGTAGTGTACTTTGCAGCAGAAAGTCATGTAGAGCTTTAATTACCTGCAGGTGAAGGAGGATCTTAACATAGCACCTTATGTACATGTAGCTCAAGTCTGGCATTCCTTTCAGATATTTACTCTATGATCGATAAGTTTGATAATAATAATGATAATAATGTTAACAACAACAACAATAAAAGTAATAACAACAACAATAAAAATAATAATAATAATAATAATGATACATCCTGTTTACTTAATAGGGTAGCCTCATCAGTATTAATACTGTTCACCCTGAGGGCCCTGGAATCACACTATCACCTCAGCTTTAGACGTTCCACCATGATAAGGCGCCTCAGCATTTAAGGAATATACATGTATTTCTTCCTACTGGGTACCCATTTGGCTCACCTGGGTGGAGAGTGCCAAATGTAGATTAATATCTTTGCAGAGGACCTTAGTGCCGCAGCGGGACTCAAACCGTGAACCATGTGATTCACAGTCTAGCGACGTATTATCCACTAGACCATGACACCTCTACAATTAATCATAAATCACTTAAAATTTTCAGTGGCACATCTTCTCTTTTGATGCAAGTACAGAAAGTGTAAATGCACTAC